GGGGGGGGGGGGGGGCAGTTGGGTTTGTATATAAGTTAAAAGATTCACAACTCCTCGAACGGGGAAAATGTTTGGTGCTTTCAGCCCAATAATCCTGAAAGCTGACAAGAGATGTACTGCAATTCCAGCAGCCAAAAACATCTGGTGGTAAAGGATGATTAGAGATATTTATCAACACCCCAAAATGAGATATTTCTATGGCTAAAGGTGCTTCAAAGATGAAAAAAGGAATGACTTTAAAGTGAATGGCTTCCAAACAGTCTAAATCTTACTTAACTATGCAAAACATCGTAACACAATCAACAAAAATTACACTCAGATTTGCTTTCAAACATTCTAAATCTTGACTCTATATAGGTATACGCAGTTACAGTAAATAGAATTGACTTTGACCTACAACAAATTCTAGAGATCCTCAATAATTAGTTTGCTAATTGTCTTCTGCACTAACAAATCACCAAGAGCTATAATTGGGGACACTAGCTGATTTCTTTAGGATGGCTAGAACTAGCTCGGAGATTACAGGATTTGAAATTCTACCCTTAATAGCTGGAATAGCGGAGTAGTCCTTAGAGTAAGTAGGAGAGAGTTTGTTCACTAGCTGATTTCTTTAGGATGGCTAGAATGGAGATTCTGTTTACTACAACACAACACTGGGGACGCAATGTCCAGTGAAGTAGGAGCCTAATTTTTTGTTCTTATCAAGCTGTAAATATACTCAGTGGTAATAAAATGTTTTTAATTACCTAAAAAAAAAAAAGGAACCTCGGTTTTTTTTATTTTTTTTTGAAATTGGTAACATTTGTATTAGATATAAACATGACTACACTAAAACAGTGTAGTCCCATAATTACAAAAGGGAGTACAAAGAGAGACAACCTAAGTCTCTATAAAGATCATAAGAGGTCAAAAAAATCAAAAATACTTTCACTCTCTTCTAAGCACTCCTGTTTACACCACAAATAAAAGAGCGTAAGGCAGCTCATCTTCAACTTTTGTATTGAACTATGTGTATCTTCAAAACATCTTTGGTTCCTTTCTTTCCAAATTGTCCTGCAGGGACAATCTTCCATCTCTCCTTCTGGCCAGACTGCAATCCATCTCTCTTCCAACTTGTTAGGACTTCCCTGATTCTCCCTGGCATAACCCATTTAATTCCCCTCAGGTTGATGAATATCTTCCAAATTTGATCTGTGACACTGCAGTGCAAAAAAAGATGGTTGATTGTCTCCTCCTGAGCTTTACATAAGTAACATCTGGACCCCAACGGATATCCTCTCTTAGTGAGATTATCTTGGGTTAGGACAGCTTCTCTTGCTAGGAGCCAGACAAAGCATGCCACTTTGTAAGGTATTTTAACTTTCCAGATCATTTTCCAAGGCCAACAACCAATCTGGTTATTTGAATGGTTGTACTCCTTGTAAGCTGATCTAACAGAGAAAATTCCTTCTTTCCCCCCTTGCCAGAACAGCCTATCTTCATTGTTGGTGGTCCCTCTAAACTGTTCTAGAGTATCATAAAAATCTGTCAGCCTCTCAATTTCCCAGTCATATAGAAATCTTCTAAATGTAAGGTTCCATTCTTGACCTGTCCAAAGTTCTCCAACAGTAGCTCTTTGTTGTTGATTCAGATTGTAGATGTCCGGGAATAGTTGCTTTAAAGTTCTCTGACCAAGCCATTTATCTTCCCAGAAGGATGTTTTCATTCCATTTCCAACTCTGAGACTTAAATTGTTTCTAAACCTTGGCCATGTGTTTCTGATAGACCTCCACAGACTCACCCCATAAGGAGTACAAACTGTTTTTGTTGTCCAACTACCTTCCATCCCATACCTTGCCTGAATTACCTTCTTCCACAAAGATTGTTCTGTTGTGGCAAACCTCCATAACCACTTCATCATCAATGCTTGATTCTGAATTTTTATATTTCTAATCCCCATTCCCCCTTCTTTCTTGCTGGTAATAAGAGCTTCCCACCTGACCAGATGAAACTTACTCTTATCACAGGTGCCTTGCCATAGAAAGTTTCTTCTCAGTGCATCTATTCTTTTAACTACATTGGCCGGAACTGGAAATAAAGACATCATGTAAGTAGGCATGGCATCCAAAACACTATT